TTACACTCCTGCTTAGCATTGGAGCAGTCTGTCTGCTCAGCTCAAGCTATCCAAGACTTTTCCCTGTCCACTTGCTGATAGAACCTTTCTTATATGGGGACAGACCTCACCCAGAGAAGATTTTTACTTCTCAAAAATGATTTGCTCAACTGCATCCAGTTGAATGTTTCCTACTTAAGTGAGCAATTCCTATAGTAGATCCTGACATTTCTTATCTCAGTCAGACCCTCGTTCCCCCTGGAGGACAACTGCATGGTCATAGACTTGCAAGACGAGGTTAGAAACCCTTGTTAAAGCTTTATTTTCGTTGGTGAAGGGTAACCCTCATTAATGCTTTACTTTCCTGCATGATTCCGCTGATATGAAGTCAATGGACGAAACATGTCAAACATGCTAATGCTGATGTTTTTAATATTTTAAAAAGATCAGATTTACTCTGCTTTTTTTTTTTTTTTTTAAACTCTGTGACCGTGTATCAACTTCCTGCCTGATATACTGGAAAAGAGGTTGAAAGTCCAAGGTGATTTGAAGCTGCAATCCTTTTAAACAGTGCTGCTTTGAGGCCCAAGAGGGATCAAAGAGATAGGAGGAGGTGGATCAGCATGAGGAGATTGCTATGGGTGAACGGATTATCGGGAGGCTGTAACGCAAGCATTTATAGAGTTTCAGAAATATAGGTCTAACGTTTCCAATAAGTTCTCGATCTGATGTGTATTTGTGTGTAATTGAAAGCACAGATGTTATAGTACTATTATTATTTGGCAGCCCATGAGTGGGTGGATGAGCTGCTCCCAAACTTTAATATATACAAGCATAGTTTTTATTTGTGCACCCATCCTAATGGATGCCTGGCTTCACATATAGTTACGTCTTACGCATTTTGAATGACTGGCTTAGCAGATACAGTTTTCAAATCTCCAGGATGAGTTTTCTCTTCATCCATATGCATAGGATTCTTTGGCTTAACCACTTGCCGTCCGCCTGCTGTTCATAAACGGCAGGGCGGTGGCACTCTAGGGGCGGTTTGCCGTTCATAAACGGCACCCGCCTTTTAGAGCTCTGCGCACTCCCTGGGAGCGTGCAGTACCGCGATCCGGTGCCTGCTGTGTCCTCCGGACACAGTGAAACACCGATTGTCGGACGGGACCTTGGTCCCGATCATGTGTGATCACATGCAAAGTAGTAAGCAAGATGTCACTTGTGACATCGTTGCTTACTACGTGTGAAATCTGTGAATGATCACAGAGGTCACATGGTACAAGGCTATTCACAACAGCCTTGTATCATGTGACAAGGTGTGACCAATCACAGCTCACTCAGTATTTCTCAATGGCTGCAAGAATGCAGAAAAAGCGAAAGAGAAATTATTGCTTTTACATCCTATATGGGTGTAAAAGCAATCACTGTTAAAAAAAAAAAAAAAATCTTCATCACCCCCCACAAATAGTACAGTGTCACCAATGTGACACTGTACTGCTAGGGTGACAGTATGTAAAAAAAAAAAACATAAATAATAATGTAAAAAAATAAAAATGTAAAAATAATGTTTAAAAATTGTAATTTTTGGTTATAAACTAATTTGGCTTATTTTTTTTTTCTAAAAATATAACGGAATACATTTTGGTCAAGATTTATGATGAAAGATTTATTTGCAAAATTTTATAAGAAAAACACTTTTCTCAAAATTTTTGGACTTTTTCATTTACATAGCAAAAAAAAAAAAAATCCCAGCGGTGAATAAATACCACCAAAATAAAGCTTTATCTGTCTCAAAAAAATGGTAAAAAATTCATATGGGTACAGTATTGCATGACCGCGCAATTGTCATTCAAAGTGTGATAGCGCTGAAAGCTGAAAATTGCCCTGGACAGGAAGGGGGTAAAAGTGTCTGGAAAGGAAGTGGTTCATGCTGGTCGGCTGAGCTTCTGTGCAAGAAACACCTTGTGTGTTTGCCCTTTGAAAGCAAACCTCTGTTTTTTTATCCCTACTTGAATAAGTTCTCTTTTTGGTCCTTCCTTTACTTGTGCCTCTACCAGTAAGACTTCAGCACTTCTGAGGTTAGGAACAGTTCCTTTCATCCCTCCTAGTCTTCCAATGCCAAGTCTAAAACTTGAATACACTTTTGTAAGAAGACATGGCTGTCCAAACCAGCCAGGACTAATCCCAAGTCTTTTTCCCAGTGATTTGGTGCCCCCACTTCTAAAAGTGATGAACATCTTTCTTGTTCCAGAAAATCTGAGTCTCCTGAATCTAGAATGTCACTTCGAGGGCTACAAAGTGGAGTTTCACACTCTTCCTCCTTTCTGCTTTCTGCTGTCAAACTTGTCTACTTCTCTGTCTCATCTGAGAGATCTGCTTGCTGCTGTCCAGCAGTTCTTGTCTCAAAGGGTCATTAACCCTGTACCAACAGAAGAACATTTTCTAGGTTTCTATGTCAACATTTTGACAGTTACTAAACAGAAAAAAGGAATCCTGCCTGTTTTGGATCTGAAGACTTTCAATTTGTTCTTACTGGTACAAAAGTTCTGCACGTAACCTGCCAGGTCAGTCAATACCCCTATTCTTTTGGAGGATATTCTGGCCTCAATAAGTATCCAGTATGCTTACTCATTGCCATATTTCCGTTAACCTGAATTTTGTTGGCGATCTGCATTACTAGTTTGTTGCATTTCTCTTTGGTATGCCGCCTCCTCGGTTTTTCACCAACCTGCTTTCACTGGCTCTGCTTTGTGTTGTGGGGTACCTGGACAACCATTTTTAAAGGAGCAGTCCCTCCTGTCCCTGGTAGCCAGTGTTTAATAGACAGTGCAGATTCTGAAGAGCTATAATTGGTTCCTCAGTCAGAGGAAGTCATCAATGGATCTGCTTGGAGTACATGGGCTTGACATTAAAAATGGCCCTATCCAGAGTCTTCCAGTATCAGGATAAACCTCTGTCCCTTTAGTCTGAGGTCTTTCGCCCTTAGGCTGTGCTGTACACTCAGTCTTAGTCCACACCATTGAAGCTCAACTTTATGTTGGAAGGTTCTTCCATTGCATGCCAGCCTAGCAGGCTGGCGAGCAGTCCCTGACATCCTCTAAGTGCAGGGAGCTTGGTTGTCTGGCGAGGCTCACTTTCTAATCCGCATTTTAAGACTCAGCAAAATTCGGTTGTCTCTGTAAGCTAGACTATATTTTGAGAACACCAAATGGTAATCCAGTCAGACAGTGCCATTACTGTACCCTACATCAGTGATCAAAAAAACACCAGAGGTTGTGCCACTAAGATGGAAGTGGACTTGATCCTCTCGGGCAGAACTTCTCATTCTGGCCCTGTCTTCCTGCCTTCCCAGGTATAGAAAATTGGCAAGGCAAATTTCCTCAGCCTTCAGTGTCTGGAACCGGGGGACGGGACTTTCCATCTGGAGATTTTTTTTGCCCTCTTTAATAAGTGTAAGATTCCAGACGCGAATCCTCTGTTGTTCACACTCAGCAACAAACTGGATAGGTTTGACACCAGTTGCCCTCAGGGCGTTTGCAGTGGATGCTCTGGTGATGTCTTGGGACCACTTCAGACTTATTTATTCCTTACTGCCTCTTTGATTCTTCCTGGTCTACTATGCAGGATTGAGATTGAGGACATTCTGGTGATTCTCATCACACCAAATTGGCTCAGTAGGGCGTGGTACCCAGACATACAGACGTCTTGCAGACGCCAAGTGGGACCTTCTCGATTGTCCAGGCCTTTTGTCCTAAGGCCCAGTTTTCCATCCTTCTGGGTTGCTGGTGTTAATGGTATGACTGTTAAAGCTATGGTCCTGAGGGAAGGCATTTTTGTAAAGCCTACCATCACAACCTGGAAGGCCTGTTTCAATTTGTTTGAGTCAGGGAACTATCATACTGGAAAGTACTCCATTGGACAGTTCTCTTTTCTCCAACCTGGTTAGCTTTTTTTTTTTTTTTTTTTTTTTTTAAGCACCACTCAAGTACATATCTTGACCTTAACTTTTATCAGGACATGGCTAACATTTCTGTCCATGTGTGGGGATATTCCCATCTGACATTACTTGTAAGGTAGCTTTTCTCGCTTTACCTCTGAGTGGAGGGTGTCTGAGTTAGTGGCCTCATCTTGTAAAGAGCCTTTTTTAGGATGCACACACACTGGCAGCTTTAACTGAGCCTGGGCATGGACCACCCCCTGTGTTCCTGTTCATTTGTTTAGTGAGGGTGCTTTGACCTGTACCTGAGAGCGGTTAAAGCTGGATACACACTGGCCAGAACTGGCCGACTTTCGGTCAGTGTACAGCTGTCTGTTTGACAGAAGGCAGTTTAACGACCCGCTTTTAATGAAGGGACATGCTGGAAAAACAATATCCAATCAACGTTCGCAGCCAATTCTGGCAGGGGAGAGTCCCACACCAACATCACTTTTGTCTGTCAAGCCTTCTAGATCAGTTTCTTATATGGGTCTGTTGGCTTTATTACTGTGTTGCCCACCCCCAGTAGGACCGCTGTGGATGTCTGTCATAATGAATAAGTCTGTGTCATGTACTTTACTACTAGGAAAATAGGTTTTTTGACTTACCAGTGAGAAGGGTTATATAGGGAGGTGTCCCTGCAGCCTTATTTCTTTGCTGGTATTCAGTCACCTGAATGTAGCATCATATAACCCAGTCATAATGCTTAACCGCCGCCCGCCATATAAGGAAATGACCAGCGCAACGTTCTCCCGTTCTGCGAGGACGTCATATGACGTCCTCCCAATGTAACCGAGCGTGAACGCCTCCAGGGGTGTGCAGTTTGGCGATTGGTGGTGTGCTGTGTCCCTTGGACACAGCGGATCACCGATCAACGGAAAGAGCTAAAGACATCGGCTCTGTCATTTGATCAGCTGTGTCCAATCACAGCTGATCGCATGTAAATGCGGAAATGTCGGTTATCGTCATTTCTCTCCTCACGAGCTGTCACGCTGACAGCTCGTGAGAAGAGTAGAGCCTGTAATCGACAATCCTCAGAGGGGACATGTACACTGATCATCAGGGCACTAATGATCAGTGTAGCCCCATCAGTGCCACCTGTCAGTGTCCATCAATGCCAGCTGTCAGTGCTCATCAATGCCTCCTAGCAGTGCCCATCAATGCCACATATCAGTGCCCATCAGTGCTGCCAGTCAGTGCCACCTATCAGTGCTGCCAGTCAGTGCCACCTATCAGTGCCGCCAGTCAGTGCCCACCAGTGCTGCCTCAGTGCTGCCTAACATTGCCAGTCAGTGCCACCTATCAGTGCCCATCAGTGATGCCTGTCAATGCCCATCAGTGCCACCTACCAGTGCTTCCTCATCAATGCCCATTAGTGCAGCCTATCAGTGCCCATCACTGCAGCCTCATTAGCGCACATCAGTGAAGGATAAAAATCACTTATTTACAAAATGTTATAACAGAAACTAAGAAAAAACTTTTTTTTTTTTTTTTTAAATTTCAGTTTTTGGTTTGTTTTGCAAAAAATAAAAAACCCAGAGGTGATTAAATACCACCAAAAGAAAGCTCTATCTGTCTCAAAAAATGATATAAATTTCATATGGGTACAGTGTTGCACGACGGTGCAATTGTCATTCAAAGTGTGACAGCGCTGAAAGCTGAAAATTGGCTTGGGTAGGAAGGGGGTATAAGTGCCCTGTAGGCAAGTGGTTAAAGAGCCTGTGTCCCATACTGTTTTCCCAGAAATGGGTTTTGCTAGCAAGTCAGAAATTTTGTTTTACATTAAGCCAATATTATTCACATATATATCTAAGAAATATTTAAAAAAAGCTATTCCTTGTAAGTCAAATTCTGTACATCCATTTATAAAATCACTGTTTTCTGTTGGGTTCTGGCATCTTTTTGTTAGTTTCTAATGTATAGTATTTTTTAGATTGCAGGTGTGGCCAGGATATTCAGCTAGCATACGCAGGACAGATGGCGGTCTGTTTCTTATAGCGGATATCACCCACAAGATTATCCGAAATGACTCTGTGCTTGACATTATGTAAGTTAATATTGCACAAGATTTGGCAGTTCATTTTATATACAATGCTTATTCAGTCATATACACCTATCAACCATAACAGTATGATAACCTACTATAACATTATGACCACCCACCTAATTAAGAGTATGTCCCCCTTTTGCTGCCTTAACAGCCCTGACCGATCAAGGCACCAACTCAACTATACCTCTGAAGGTATTATGTAGTGTCTGGCACCAAGCCATCAGTAGCAGATCCTTTAATTCCTGTATGTTGCAAGGAGGTGTCTCCATGGATCAGACTTGTTCTTTTAGCACAGCCCATAAATGCTCAATTGGATTGAGATCTGGAGAATTTGGAGGTAGCTCAACATCTCAAACTCATGTTCCTCAAACCATTCTTGAACCATTTTTGCAGTATTGAAGGGTGCATTATCCTGTTGAAAGAGGCCACTGCCATCAGGGAATACTGTTTCCATGAAGGGTTGTACTTGAACAGCAACAATGTTTAGGTAGACGGTATGTTTCAAACTAACATTCACTTGAACGGCCGGACCCAAGATTTTCCATTAGAAAATTGCCCAAAGCATCACATTGCCTCTGTTGACTTGCTTTCTTCCCATAGTTCATCCTTGTGCCATCTCTTCACCGGGTAAGTGAAGCACACACACCTGGCCATCCACACAATGTGTAAAAGAGGATGTAATTCGTCAGACTTGACCACTTTGTCCAGTTCTGATGCTGACATGCTAAAATAAAAAATGTCAGCTGTCCCAATTTTAATTTATGGTATTATACCATATACAACACCCAAAACTTGTAGTAAACACAGTGTTCCAGTATAACAAACATAAATGTGCTCTCAAAACTGTCCTTTGTGAAGTTACTTCTTCTGCTCTACTGCTACTTCACAAGTCGTGTAGTCTTTAACCGCTTTCCCGCGCCCTATAGCAGATACACTGCTACAGAGCAGCAGGGGTGCTCAAAATCATGTGTGTGTGTGTGTGTGTGTGTATGTATATATATATATATATATATATATATATGTGTGTGATTTTGCATTTCCGGGTAGGGGGTGCGCTGCCAGCCGCAGCTGTCAGTCACCGGGTCCCAGCTGGCGATTACCCACCGGCGCCCAGTGACAGTGATTACCGAGCATCTCCGATATTAGTCACTGACCGCCGCCAACTTTTAGTAATAAAAAGTCCAGTATCTATACCGCCATTTATAGCCAACGCTATAACTTTCACGTAAACCAAGTAATTTACACGTATTGGCATTTTTTTTTTAGCAAAGACTTAGCAGAATACATTTTGGCTTAAATTTATGATGAAATTTTAATTTTTTTTTATTTTTTTACTGGACATGTTTAATAGCAAAAATTAAAAAATATTGTTTCTCAAAATTGTTGGCCTTTTTTTTTTTTTTTAATAGCGCAAAAAATAAAAAATGCAGAGGGGAAAAAAAAACCAAAAAAAAGCTCAAATTGTGGGAAAAAAAAGGACGTAAATTTAATTTAAACCTTTCCAAAACCGAGCTTCTGATCATGACCAACAACACCACCATCAGTCCCACCCCACTAGACTCAAACCTGTCCTTCCAACCCCATGTCCAATCGTTGGCAAACTCATGCAGGCTCCACCTCCGCAACATCTCCAAAATACGTTCGTTCCTAACCCCAGACACTACTAAACTACTCGTTCACTCCCTTATTATCTCACGTCTGGACTACTCCAACTCCCTTCTCACCGGCGCACCTCGTCGCAGACTATCCCCGCTTCAGTCTATCCTGAACTCAGCGGCCAGACTCATCTACCTTACCAACCGCTCCGCATCTGCCACCCCCCTCTGTCATTCCCTCCACTGGCTCCCGATTGCCCAACGCATTAAATTCAAACTACTAACACAGACATACAAAGCCATTCATAATGCTGCCCCAAACTACCTCACCGACCTGATACCCAAATACCACCCTACCCGTAATCATCGCTCCTCACAAGACCTCCTACTTTCTAGCTCCCTGGTCTCCACCTCCCACGCCCGACTGCAGGACTTCTCCAGGACTTCCCTCATCCTCTGGAACTCACTACCCCAATCCATCAGACTGTCACCTACCCTCCTCACCTTTAGGCGCACCCTGAAAACCCATCTCTTCAGGGAAGCCTACCCCGCCCTCACCTAACAGCCGATCTCCTCCTACCACTCCATCCCCCCCACAGCCACTTCCTCCTGTACCACTATCCCCTCCCTCCTAGATTGTAAGCTCGAAAGAGCAGGGCCCTTGACCCCCTCGTGTATTGTATTGTTACTGTATTGTCTCATGTACTGTCCCCCACTATAATGTACAGCGCTGAGCAAACCTTTTAGCGCTTTTAAATACTGTATAATAATAATAATAATTTGGGGCAGCGTTGCATGACCACGCAATTGTCAGTTAAATTAACACAGCGCCTTAACGCAATAAATGGCCTGGTTAGGAAGGGGGGTAAATCTTCAGGAAGGCTAGTGATTAACAAATCATTCACCTTCAGAGTGAAAATAGCAACTACCTTTCTTTTGTGTACTCTCCATTCACCAGAGGGTTTTGACCATATAAATCATATGGCTTTTTGAGTCTCAACCAGCTTTATTGTACTCCACTTCTGCTCAGGCAAAAATGAATGCTCTTGTGGGACGTCCTCCAGTGCTCTCGATTTCTTTCTACTTTAGATCTCTAGTGTCACCATTCAGGGTCTCATTTTCTCAACCTTAGCAAAGGCCTCTTAGTTCTTCTAGCTCCTCTTTGGAGATCTGTGTTGTGTTTGTCATTGTGGCAGCTGAACTCTAAGTGCGACAGAATTTTTAAAAAAAAAAAAAAAAAAAATCCTAGTTGGTTTAACTTTCAGCAGAGGTGCATCACTGATCTCTGTGTAACTAACGACTACTGGAAACTTGGGGCAAAAAAAATCTCCAAGTCTACATTCCAAGTATCTACATCCAGCATCCGGGATGCCAGGAGTCAGGCAGCCTTGAAGGAAGTAGGTCTTATCACCGCTTTGACAGAAATACACTGCCTAGAAACTGTTATTGTTCACATCCAGGGTGTGGACAATGGTAAGGCAGATTTTTCTTATGTTCATTGACGGACACAGTCTCTTCTTCTTTATCAGGGTTTTTACTTGGTACCTCCTATGGGCAGTCCTCTCTGGGCATAAAACCCCCTCTCTGCTATAGGCCTCCAGTCATTTCAGCCTGGTGTCTCAGCAGTTTGGAAATGTCTTTTTTTGCCTGGATAATTTAATGCAATGGGCACCCCAGTCTCAGGGTGGCCAGCAAGGTGAACGTGTCTCAGGGACACATATAATCAGTCTGTGTCAGTGTTGCCCCTTGCCGACAGCCCCCCCACTTCGGTGGAGAGGAGAATCTGTCATGGGAGCCTTACCCGCATGCTGCAATGGATTGAAAAGTGTATGCCCCCCCTTCCTTCCCCAGATGCGTTAGAGGCACGGGTGCTCCTTGCAGTTGTTGGTCTAGTCTTCTCCTAGCTTGGGTAATGCCACTCGCCCCGCCGGAGCAGCCTGCCACTTTAGGCCGGGGATTTGTAGTCTAGCCAGGAGTGCTCTTAGTCTGCCATTTTAACTATGGGTACCCCCCCCCCTTTTTTTTTTAATTTTCACTTGCGCACTGTTCCTGAGGCGGTAGCAGATGTCAGGCCAGCGTCCTCTCTATAGTGGATGAGACAGTAGAGATAGGGCGGCAGCCATTTTGGCTGAGGGCAGCTTCCCTCCCTTCCCATATCCCGAGTGATGGCTACGGGGGAGGCGACCGTTTTCCTCTCACCTCCCCAAACAACAACTGGAGGGTACTATTGACAGCTTTAATGCCATTCAGTCGCCCACACTCCTTCCCCACACACTGGGTCACTCTGCATGACCTCCTTGCGGCCTCTTTGTTTTTTGCTGACGGGCAAAATCTACCTCTCTTGTGCTGTGAGTTCAAGGTCAGAACTGGTGCAAGGTTGGGGCTTATGCTGGTTCAGTACCAGCCCACTGATTTCCGTGTGTAGCTTGCTTTGCACAGCGAACAGTATTTAGGTCTTTCTGTGGGCACTTGGCTTGTGGAGGGGAATATTTCCTTGCCACTGTGCTCGAGTAGCGATGGACACTGGTTACCTCCACATTTGGGACTTCAGAAGCAGTGGCTGGCTCCTTTGGTGCCTTGCGTGTCTGCTAGGTTCTCTACTAAAACTGGAACGGGCGTTGATTCCGAAGACCTTGGGGTGCGCCCGGCGGTTGTGGGGCCCTTCTATGGAGGTGGACTAGTTTACCAGCGTTGCATGCTTGATCCCTTTAGTTGGGGAAAAACAGCCATGTTACTTGTGGGGGTTACTCCCTGAGATCCTGTTGACAGTGCAGCAGACTGGTCCTTCACTGGATGCAGGCTATTGCAAGTTTGG